GTCACTGCTTTGGGAATTATTCCCTGTGATCTTCTTATTAAAAATAACTTTGGGGGCGCCTGGGTGGCGCAGTCGGTTAAGCGTCCGACTTCAGCCAGGTCACGAGCTCGCGGTCCGTGGGTTCGAGCCCCGCATCAGGCTCTGGGCTGATGGCTCAGAGCCTGGAGCCTGTTTCCGATTCTGTGTCTCCCTCTCTCTCTGCCCCTCCCCCGTTCATGCTCTGTCTCTCTCTGTCCCAAAAATAAATAAACGTTGAAAAAAAAATTAAAAAAAAATAACTTTGAGGGGCGCCTGGGTGGCTTGGTTGGTTAAGCGTCCGACTTCGGGACTTCGGCTCAGGTCATGATCTCACGGCCCGAGAGTTCGAGCCCCGCGTCGGGCTCTGTGCTGACCGCTCAGAGCCTGCAGCCTGTTTCCGATTCTGTGTCTCCCTCTGTCTCTGCCCCTCCCCTGTTCATGCTTTGTCTCTCTCTGTCTCAAAAATAAATAAACGTTGAAAAAAAAAATTTAAAAAAACCCAAAACTTTGAGAAGCAAGGCCACCTGGTGTAGTCTCTTCCTATAGCTCACCAAGGAGCGGACCTACTTCGGTCAGGTAAAAAGATCATGCTGTGTGCAGGGGGTCTTGCACACAGTAGGTACTTGTCTTAGTCTTGTTCACCCAGAGGCAGACCCTGAGACAAGGGTTCCAGTGTAGGGAGTTTATTCCAGAGGTGATCCTGGAAAACCCAAGTAGGGCAGTGGAGGTAGTGAGACCAAACATGGGAGGCAGGTATACAGGGAGGGTAACCAAGGATATAAAGCAGAGCTCAGTCCCAGCGGGGACTAACGTGAGTGAGGGGCAGAGAGAGAGGGAGAGAGAGTGAGGAGCTTGGAGCGGAGCTCTCCTGAAGCGGGGCTTGAACTCACAAAATCATGAGATCATGACCTGTGCCAAAGTCAGACACTTAACCAACTGAGCCACCCAGGCACTCCCTGCTCTCCCTTTTCTGCTTCTTCTCTTCCACCTTCCCTCCTTTCCTTCTTTCCTCTCTTCCTTCCTTCTTTCCTTTATCACTACGTTCTTTCTTTCCTTCTTTCTTTCTTTCTTTCTTTCTTTCTTTCTTTCTTTCTTTCTTTCTTTCTTTTCTTTTTTTCCTCTTTCAATATTTATTGAAAACCAACTGTGTGCCAGGCAATGGACTGGGCACTAGAGGCTGATTGTGTTTTTTCCTGTCCTGGAGGAGCATACCATCGGGGCCTCGCAGACAAACGTATCCATAGTTGTGGCCCTGAGTGAGCAGGACTGAGATGGGGGAGCCCAGAAGCCCCAGGCTAGCTTGAGGGCTAGGCTGTCAGAGAATGTCCAGAGGAGGCAGCAGAGCTTGCTTTGAAAACACTCAGCAGTGTTAGACCTGCAATGGGAAAGGGGCCTTATGGTAGAGGGAACAGCACGTGCAAAGCCGCAGATGCTTGCAGTTGCATGGCTTCTCCCCGAGGGAAAGGGGGACCATGGAGGGCTCGGAGCAGAGGATGGCCTCTGGTTGCAGGTGAAGGGTGGATCACAGGAGCAAGCCTGGGGGAGGGAGCCGGGGAAGGAGTCCAGGTAAAGGGCAGAGGCTTGACCTAGAGCAGGGCCCTGGGCACAGAGAATGTATTTGTGTCCTGAGGCTGCTGTAACAAAGTACACAAACTGGATGGCTTAGAACAACAGAAATTTATTCTTGCACAGTTCTGCAGGCTGGAAGTCCAAAATCAAAGTGTCAGCAGGGCCTTGTTCCCTCTGAGACTCTGGGTAGAATCCTTCATTGCCTCTTCTTAGCTTCTGGAGGTCACCATCAGCCTTTGGCTTATAACTGCATCATGCCAATCTCTGCCTGTCTTCACGTGGCACTGTCCCTGTGGTCTGTATCTTCACATGACATTGCCACTTCTTTTAAGGACACCAGCTATGGCCATATTGGATTAGCCCCCACCCTAATGACTTCATCTTAACTTGATTACATGTACAAAGACCTTATTTCCAAATAAGATCAGTCATAGAGAACTGGGGGTTAGGATTTCAACATATCTTTTTAGGGGATACAATTCATCCTATAACAGAGAGGAACAGGGAGTTCCGCTGAATTTCTCTCAGGGAACAGCATGACCCTCACCCTGGCTTTCGCTTGTAGGCTCAGCCCTAACTGTGGGTGCCCTCAGCCCCCACTGCTGGGAATGTCTTGACAGGCTGAGACCAAATTTGGCACCATGGCGCCCTCTGCTGCCAGGTGTGGCTAGAGCAGGCTGGTTCCTGCGAGCTACGAGCTGCAGAGCCCCTCGGAGACCTCATACATTTTCAACCATGGAAAAAACCTCGGTCCTGAGGCTGAGATGGCCGGCTGGAATGGCACTGAAGGTCTGGAGCCTGCAAACACCAGCCTTGGTGTCTGACAGACCTGGGTTTGCATCCTGCCTCTATGGCTGCCTGGCTGAGTGACCGTAGGGCTTGTTACTCAGCTTCTCTGAGTCTTGGCTGCCTCCTCAGGAGAGCAAAGGGAATTGTCCATGTTCCTGTATGGTGCAGAGTGCTTGTTCAGTACCACGCAACTACGTATTGTTAAATATTAATTATGTTAATAAATGAGTTAATAACTATAATGTTCGTAAAACAAATCAGGCAGATAGTAAATGCTAATGGGACAATTTATATTCTTGGCATCTATTATTTGCCAGATTTATTCTCCTTGGGTCCCTAAGGGCTTAGAAGTGCCAGTATTAATAATAAATAATTTGATGACATATAATATTATTATTGGCAGTTTTAGGCCCCTAAAGATCCAATGAAATAAAATTATGGGGTTCCACAAACCCAAGATACTATCATATTGCACTAAGTCACATCTCTTTTTGATTACTAAAAAGGGAGGGGGATTATCTCATGAATTTGGAGTCAATAATAACTTTTTCTTTCTTTCTTTCTTTCTTTCTTTCTTTCTTTCTTTCTTTCTCTCTCTTTCTTTCTTTCTTTTCTTTCTTTCTTTCTTTCTTTCTTTTTTCTTCTGCTTAGTTTTCTCCATATGATTTAAAGCCCTCAAAGATGTGCTTATTGCTTGCTGCAAAGAAACTTTAAGAAGGTATAGACAGTAGCTCCTGGGGGCTGGTGGGGTCAAAACTGTTCCAGGCTGAGCAACCATCCTGGTTGCCCAGGACTGAGGAGTTTCCTGGGATGTGAGACCTTTTGGTGCAAAAACTGGGACAGTCCGAGGAAATTGAGACAGCTGGTCACCCTAACTTCTTCCCAGCCTGTTTGGGCCAGAAACTTGCTCCCAGGAGAAACAGTGACTCAAACTCAGGGAGGGCTTAAGATAAGAGCTGACTAATCTGGCTTTGAAATGTGGTACTGGCACTAATTAGATGTGTGGCCTTGGGTAGGTCACTTAACCTCTCTGAGCTTTGGTTTATAAAGCTGGGATGTTGTAGATATTCAGATAAGGTGTGCAAGCATGTGGTTTGGAGCCTGGTACAGACAGGTCTCCAATAAAGTCACTTGGCTGTGGTTTCTGCCTTTTGTGTCTGGCTGCTGGCTCTTAGTTAGAGATCTAAGAGTCCCGTGCCCCAGAAAGGGCTGTTGTCCCCCTGGGGAGGCCGAGGGAGACAGATGGTTAGAACTGACGCATCCCCACCTTGGTTGGTCATACTCAATGTGACTTGATTGCTTGGCCTCTATCTTTGTCTCTGGACCTGAGCTCCAGGAGGGCAGGGATCAACTTGCTGACTGTTGTATGCTCAGGGCCAGCTCAGGGCTGGGGGGCACAGCAGCTATCTGATAAATGCCAAATTTTTTTGGATTAATTAAACTGAACCCCAGGGTGGAAGGGGGAAACCCAGAGCCTGGGCAGGGTGGAGTACAAGCAGATGGTGAGGCAGCCTGGAGTGGTCAGTGGAGAGATGGGGTAAACAGGGACAGGGTGCACAGGCATTGAGGCAAGGCATCTGGGGTCCCAGGGAGAAGAAGGTTTAGTTTTGGGTCTAATGTGTACCTGCAAGATCTCGGGAAAGTCCCTTTTGCTGTCACTCAGAATGTCAATTCCCACATCTGTAACATGGGATGGTAACTGTGCCTACTGCAAAGGGTGATTGTGAGGATTAATGAGATTACACAAGGAACTCAGCCTGGGCCCGGGGCTTGCTGCTCAGCGCTACACCAAGTACTCCCTGTCACACACACACACACACACACACACACACACACACACCACTTGGACGGTCTCAAATCTGGCTGCACACACCATCCTTCCCAGCCTCTGTTCCAGTCCTACCACTTACTTGCTGTGTGATCTTGGCCAAACGACTTTCTCTCTCTGAGCTCCCTTCCTCATCTCTGGCATGAGAAAATAACAGTTCCCACGTTGCTAAGTTTTGACGAAGATGAACTGAGATAACCAACCCACTTAGCCCAACGCTGGGCACATAACCAATGTTCAGTTGGAGTAAGTGACTGGAATAGTCCCAGGATGATCACACACACACACGCTCTTCCAGGTCTTGGTAAATCATGGGAGTCCTTCAACCACTCAGGGCTTCAGCATGTAACAGGTGCACATCAAACCCCGTCACGTCAAATGGGCTCTGTCCCACAGACACTCTCAGGTACCCGCCATGCTCTCTTGCAGGTCCCCCCATCCTCAGTCACCTCCCACCCAGGGCCCCATCAGTCAGCACCACTGAGGCTGATTAACAAAAAACACAACATCAAATTCTTTTACTTCTCAAGTCTCCCCTTTAAGAGGAGGCAGGAAACAGAACATTCGTTTTTGGAGGGGAGGAGATTTAACTTTTAAAAAAGCTATAACTAGTCAAATACTGATCTCAGGCCCTGTGTGCCTGGGCCCAGTCCTGGCTGGCTGCGCCCCTGCAGCAGCCCCACCTTACCCCCAGAGCCGGGGTGGCACCAGGAGGGCATAGGGGAGGCCAGCAGGCCCCTGCCCGGCCCCTCCTCAGCGATGCAGCGGGCAGAGGGGGCTGCCGGTGGGCCGGATGTCACCACTTGAGAAAGTCCCGGATGAGCTTCCAGAGCTTAGTGACCCACAGGTTGACACCGAGGTCCATCAGGTACTGGATCTCAGGCGTGAGCATGCGACGGCAAAGCTCCGCGTGCCGCTGCCCGATGCTCTTCTTGAGGTTGTAGCCCAGGATGGACTTGGCGCCCAGCGGCTGCCAGGGTTGCATGGCCGAGTCCTGGATGGCGGCGGCATCCACGGCTCGGCCCCCGTCGATACAGATGTGCCGCATGCGCTCGTTGGCGCGCCGCAGGGCGGCCACCTCGCGGGCCATGCGCTCCCTCCCGAACGCCTCCACCTTGCGCCAGAAGCTGGCATTGAAGTGGCGGTAGAGGCGGGCGTCCAGCACATTCCAGGCCGTGGCGCGCTGGTACAGCTCCCCGGAGAGGCGCGGCACGGCTGAGGCGCGGCGGGCATTGAGCTTGAAGTAGAGCACGTCCTCCAGCTCCCAGCACAGCAGGTCCTTGAGCAGCACCAGGGACTCGTCGAAGTACTCCTGCAGGAGCACCAGGTGGAAGCGGCGCTCCACCTCCAGGATGTGCTCCTGCACCTGCGGGTTGCCCGGGTCCAGGCCACTGTCGTAGCCCAGGTCGAAGAAGAGCAGGTTGCGGAGGTAGTGGGCGTTGTAGCCGTTGGGGTCATAGTAGCGGTCTGGGTCCTGCAGGAACTCGGCCAGCTTGTCGTGGCCCGAGAGCTTCCACGTGAAGGGCACCACTGAGCCGAAGTAGTGGAAGGAGGACTCGAAGAGGCGGGCTGGGTCACGGAGCACAGTGATGAAGGTGGCGTTGGGGGGCACCAGGCCCCGGACCTCGTCGTAGTGGAAGCGCATGTGGTTGCAGATGATGTTGAAGCAGGCCCCGGGCCGGTAGTCCTGCACCAGGCTGCGGGCGAAGAAAGCCGGGTAGTCGAAGTCGTTGCGGCCGTTGGGGAAGGCGAACTTGAGTCCGTGCTTCTGGCCAAAGCGGAACAGGATGTTGAGCAGCGTGCTGCTGGCCGTCTTGTGCGTCTTCATGAACACGATGTGGCGCCGAGGCTGGCACCCTCCTGCAGAGCCGTTGGCGAGGGTGGGCACCTCTGGCTCACCCGGGGCCGGGGAGCAGGGTGCTGTGCCCTCTGGGGTCCTGCTGTGGATGAAATGGTGGGGAGAGCCTCAGGGTCTGCTGGGGCCCTCAGGACTCAGCACCCCCTGCCCACTGGTATCTAAAGATCAGGGTTGTTGAGGATGGTGATAGCAGGAGAGGCAGGCCAGGGGACCAGACAGGCCTGTGTCCAGGCTGTGATGCGTGGGCAGGTGGTGTGGTCTCTTGGGCCTCACTTTCCTTATCTATGAAATGGGGAAAATAACAGGCCCCATTTGCGGTGTTGGTGTGAGGTCAAGCTTGCTGGTTCTTGTCTCATCCATGGCCACCACATCCTACATTTATCATGAACTAGGATTAGGTTGAACCACATATTTTGTAGGTCAGTTTTTGACCAGAAAGTCAATAATCGGTAATTTCCTCTAGTTCAACTTAATACCACCAACTAAGAGCACAAGCCATGCCAGGCCTGGCTGAGCAGCCCCACGAGGAGGTGGGAGAGCCTCATGGCTAAGAGCCAGGCTTGGAGGCAGACAGACCGCAGTCTGAATCTCGGCCCTGTGCCAGTGAGTTCTCTTGGACAAGTCACCCCCGCCTCCCAGTCCCATTGCAACCTCAGATGATAATCCCAGCCCTGTACACAGACAGTGTTATTTTCTTCACATGATCCACGAGGCAGGCTCTATTATGCCCACTTCACAGATGAGGACACTGAGGCCCAGGATTACACAGCAAGCTCTGCCCTCAGTACAGTTTCTGCCCAGCACAGCATGGTACAGGGTACAGGGTGCCCCCTCACCCCAACCCTCCCACCCCTTGGCCCTCCAGGAGGGCCACTCACGTGGAGGCCAGGCCAGCGTGCAGCGGGGGGACAGCATAGGAGTACAGCAGCAGCAGGAAGCTAGTGAAGAGTGCTCCCAGCACCAGCCCCTTGGCCATGGACACCCAGCGCTTCTTCTGCGGCAGCGGCATCTCAGACAACTGAGGGAGCAGAGAACAGGGCAAGCATTAGGAGGCCGGCCCCAGGGAGCCTCCACTGCTACCCCAGGCCTGGCTGGGTTGAGGGGAAGCCTTTGACATTGGGACTGGCCTCTGCCAGCTCTGTGGCCCCAGCAAGGTCTATACAGGGACAGTGTGACAAACACATGGAGAGGGAGAAACAGGGTTGCAGACAGAGATAGTGGGCAAAGCCAATGCAGACAGAGACCCGGGAATGGGACAAGGAGAAGGGAGAAGGTTCTACTGTCTGGTTTGGTTTTAAAAAATTTTTTAGGGGCGCCTGGGTGGCTCAGTCGGTCAAGCGTCCAACTTCAGCTCAGGTCACGATCTCGCGGTCCATGAGTTCGAGCCCCGCGTCGGGCTCTGTGCAGACAGCTCAGAGCCTGGAGCCTGCTTCCGATTCTGTGTCTCCCTCTTTCTCTGCCCCTCCCCCGTTCATGCTCTGTCTCTCTCTGTCTCAACAATAAATAAACGTTAAAAAAAATTTTTAATAAAAAAAAATTTTTTTTAAATTGATGAGTGCCTGGGTGGCTCAGTTGGTTAAGTGGCAGACTTCAGCTCAAGTCACGTTCTCCCAGTTTGTGGGTTCGAGCCCCATATCGGGCTCTGTGCTGACAGCTCAGAGCCTGAAGCCTGCTTCGGATCTGTGTCTCCCTCTCTCTCTGCCCCTCCCCCACTCCTGCTCTGTCTCTCTCTCTCTCTCTCAAAATTAAATAAACATTAAAAAATTTTAATAAAATAAATATTTTAATTGATTAATTAATTAATTTTCATTTTTGGGGGGGAGAGAGAGGGTGAGAGTAAGCAAGAGGTCGAGAGAGAGAATCCCACACAGGCTCCACACTGTCAGTGAGGAGCCTGAAGCAGGGCTCGAGCTCACCTGATGTGGGACTTGAACTCGTGAACTGCAAGATCATGACCTGAGCTGAAGTCGGATGCTTAACTGACTGAGCCACCAAGGTGCCCCTTGGTTTTAATTTTTAAGCTGAGGGGTAGGGTGGATACCTGGGTGTTCATCAGTGTATTTCTTATACATTTTTGTGCTTCATAATGAAATCATTTTCTCAGATGGAGAAGAAGACCGTCTCCCAACGCCCTGTCCCCCCAGGCCTGGGGCCAGGGACCTCCCAGGGCCTGGATGTCTCACCTTTCAAAGGACCTAACCAGTCCCACCTGTTCCCCGTGCCACCCTTCCCAGCTGCCTGGTGAAGGGTTGAGGCTCTTCCGCTCCTTTCGCTGGCCCCTATGTCCCTGCATCTGTAGGGCAGGCAGATGGAGAAACTGAGGCTCAGAGCGAGGAAGGAGAGGGTTCAAGTCACACAGCACAGCCTCTGCCCACATGCCTACCTCTTCTCTAATTTCCAGCAGGCAGGTTTGCCCAGGTAATCCTGAATTTCAGATAAACAATGAATAAAATTTAATTTTAATATTATACAGGACACAATAAAAATTATTCAATGTCTATCTGAAAATTAAATTTAGTTTGGTGTCCTGGTTTTTTTTGGGGGGGGCGGCGGGCTTGGGGAAAGTTTTCAGTCTAGTTTTGGTCTAATTGTGGCAACCCTAATAGCAGAGGAATGAGGCATGAACTGTAATGGAGGTAGTTCATGCTGAGGGATGGGAGTCCAGGAGAGAGCTGGGGCTCAGGATGCCTTCCTACCTCCCTTTAGCTATAAGCCCAGGGCATGAAACTTTCCACTCCTGTTCTGACACAAGCTGCATGGGGGCCTTGGGCCCCTGAGGCCACAAGAAGTCATGCATGCTGCCCCGTGACCACACGCATGGCACGTTCCCACCATCCCTGGGGCAGAGGCTAAATAACCAGCCTGGAGGGGGACCCCACACTCCCCTCTGGGAAAGTTACCCAAGGCACACATAAACGCTTCTCAGAGAAGGAGCACTCCAGGCCAACCCCACCAGCCAGCACCCATCCCTGAGTCTTCTGCTTATCTAGAAATTTCTCGTCACCGGAAAGGACATGAAGAAACAAGTTGCAGAGGAAGAAACTATGTGAGAGGGAATTTGGCTTCCCTCATGACAATGACATATCCCTGTTCACTCTTAGGTGGGCAAGGTGGACAGGTCAGGAGTAAATGAGAATGGGGGAGAATGTTTCCAGAGAGCCGTTTATTCTATCAAAGGAGGAAGGTATAAGCTCTCCAAATTCCAACCATTCTACAGAAACACTTGGACAAAGTCACACATGTAACGGTGTTCATAGAAGTTTAGTCAGAAATTTGAAAAACTAAAAACAATCTGTGTCTATGGGGGGGGGGGGGGGGGGAGGACTGTTACACAAACCAAGGCCTTTTCCCAGATGGAGTCATCTGTACCAAATAACAAAACAAGGCAGAGCTAAGTGGACTGACTCAAAAAACATCATGATCTGGGGCGCCTGGGTGGCTCAGTCAGTTAAGTGACCGACTCTTGATCTCAGCTCAGGTCACGATCTCACGTGAGATTGAGCCCCAAGTTGGGCTCTGCACTGACAGCAAAGGGCCTGCTTGGGATTCTCTCTCTCTCTTTCTCAAAATGAATAAATTTTTTTTTTAATACTAGAAAAAAAAAAAGCACATGATCTATTAATGTGAAAAAAGAAAGTTCCAGAACTTTATGCCCCCACATCCATATGCATATATAGGTAAATATACATGCAGGCCCAGAAACAACTGGAGGGCAGTATTCTCAATTTGAGCCGTAGTATCCTCTACATAGCTTGGAAAGGGGCACATAATGGAATATTTTTCAATATTATGCGTTTCTGTAACAATTACTTTTTTAAAAAGGAGTTATATATTTTTTTAAGTTTATTTTGAGAGGGAGAGCACACATGTGCAGGGGAGGGGCAGAAAGGGAGAGAGAGAATCCGAAGCAGGCAACCAGTGGTTGGGGATGGAGGTTGACTCCACAAACCATGAGAACATGACCTGACCCGAAATCAAGAGTCAGACGCTTAACTGACTGAGCCACCCAGGTGCCCCAAAAGGGAATATGGATTTTTTAATAAAAAGGCAATAAAATATATTTAATATGTTTAAATAATAGGTTATAAAGCTTGCCAGGTGGGGTAAGGTGACTAGACAGTATGGTAATGGAGGGGGAGGTGCCGACCTCAGGCTCTGGAAGCCCCAGGCCTGTGTTTCAATCACAGGAACCTGAGAGCCTCAGTTTCTCATCTCTGAAATTGGGAAGCTGATAGACCCCCTCACTGGCTCTTCCAGAGATGGGAGTAGGCAAAGCAATTAACACATAGGTCTCTCTCAAAGAGTATTAGCTGTTTCCCTCCTGAGCTCCTGGGGACCTGCTCCTGGTCTCTGTCAGGGTGAGCTCTCCTGAACAAGGAGTGGCTGCTAGCCCCCCGCCGTCTCCCCCCCCTTTCCCTGTCCCCCACCAAGCACAAACTGGCCCCATGCATCAAGTGCCCCATTTGGCCTCCCGCTCCCTGGGGGCCCAGCGAGGAGGTGGTTAGGGGGGAACAGGGCAGAACCTTGGGCCAGGCCAGAGCCTCAGACTCGGGCCCAAACCCTGAATGAGGCCCTAGGCCTCAGGTTCTCTGACTTTAAAACAGGGAAGGGTAAAATTCTTGCCCTCCCTAGATCCCAAGGGCCCACCCTTGTCCCAGCAGCGCAACTCACCAGGGCACTTTCCAGAAATCTGGAAGCTGAAGGCACAGGCTCTGGGGTGGAGGCCCAGCAGTAGGGGGCAGACCAGCTTCCCAAAACCACCAATCAGGCTCTGCCTAGACTTGCCCAGGACAGCGCCCCCAACCCTCCCATCACTGCGTCACTACTTCACTCCACCACTTGGGCTTCCTCAAACCATGCCGGCCCTCAGGTTTCACTTTTGAGCCCCTGCTATGAGGCAGGCCCTGGACAGGGGTTTCTCTAGAGCATCTCATGGGTTCTGCTCAGCTATCCTGCCAGGCAGACCCCACTGTCACCCCCATTTTGCAGATGGGGAAACTGGGGCTCCAGGAGGTGATGTGACTTGCCCAGGTAAGGCAGGGGGCAGGGCCGGGATTGAAGCCCAAGTCTGTCGGCCTCCAATATGCAGTTTCCAGCTCTGTCCATGACAGCCTCTGCCTGGCACGTCCCAGGCCTGGTCCCAAGCCTGCAGGAAGTGAGTGTGCAGCCAGAAGATCCACTGCAGGAGGCCACAGTGTGGCTAATGGGGCTCTCTCTCAGCAGCACAGCAGATTCTGGCCTCTGTGGGCTGGGCTAGGGCAGCCAGGATGAAGAGTGGACAGACGGGGGGCCTTGGTGGCTGGTCCCTACTGTGTCAGCCTGAAGCATTCAAGGCTAGTGGTTTCCTTCCTGCCTGGCCTCTGTGAACTTAGGCATGTCGCTCACCCTCTCAAGAGTCTCAGTCTCCTCACATGTACAATGGACACACAACAGCAAGATAGGGGCAAACAGGGCCCTTGGTAGAGCCCCTGGGTAGACCGAGGCCCAGAGAGGGGCTGGCTGGCAGCCAGGAGCCTGGCAGAAAGGAAATAGTCATGAGACTGAGATTTGAATGAGAGAATGTATGCACACGAATGGAGATCAATCCACATTAATTATTATTATCACTATTGACCAGGGCCCAGTCCTGGTTCGCAGTCCCAGGCTTATGGAAGGAGAGATCTCCTCTGTGCCCAGCCACACGCAAGCCTGAAGCTAACTCATCCCTGAGCTCTTGGAGCCTGGCACCTGGTAAATGTTTGATGAATGACCCCCCTGACCTTCAGAGCAGAGCATGGCCAGGGCTAATAAAAGTGTGAGAGCCACATATGTGAGTCACACATATGAGAGGCACCTGGAGCCAGCACCTTGGGGCCAAGGCCCTGGATTTGAAACCCAGTTGTGCTGCTTCCTTTCTGTGTGTGTGCCCTAGGCAAGGCTGTGTCTCTCTCTGGTTCTCAGTTTCTCCTCCAAAATGATGCCACCAACTCTCCATCACAGGGTGCTCTGCAGAAAGCATCCCACAAAGAAAGT